CCTCAAATATGGGGTCTGTCAAAAACCCGTTGGCTGGCGCAGTGCAGGTCTGACTCATCTACAATCCTGCCAAATTTCATGTTGATTGGTGCAGACGATTTTGTGCTACGGTTGACCAAACATCACTGAAAAAAATAATTAAAAAAAAAAACAGTACGAAAACAATATGGCTCCCGCTTAAGTTTCACATGCGTGTGTCATAATAAATCTATGCTGATGCAGATTTCAAAGAGCACAAAGGTTTTAAACAAACAGAAAAGATCTCAGCAGTACCAGAACCACAGGGACTCACCTGCGTCACAGGATTATTAGACGTAGTGGTCTTCACTGTTGCAAGAACTTTGTTTTTTTCCCACAACCAGAAGATCAACATCCACTCTGGGCCTCCCGTCTGACCTATGAGGTACTTGGAATCAGGGGAGAAAGCCAWGCACAAGAAGTCCTGAAGGAGTATCTCGCCTGCAGTCAGAGGCTTTCTCTTCCTGCCTTGCTCATGGTGAAGGTCAAACACGGTGACACAAGCCTTCTCTGCCCTCTCTGCTACAGCCAGGTAACGACGACTGGGACTGAGGGCCAGAGCACGGACACCCTGACTCTTCTCTGAAACTGAAAGAACAGCACATTATCAGAACAGAAAAAGGAAATATAAAATGCCTAACATTCACTGAAGGAAAGCATTTCACCTGCATCCTTTCATGTCAAARTTGTTATAGATCAATTACTTAAATACCAACATTTTAATTCAAACCAAATTAAACGTTCTACCTGGTTCTAAACAATCTTTAGACTGAAGRAAAAAACAGTGTCTCACTATTATTTAGTTTGAAACGTTTGAAATCTTCACTGGGATCACAACAGAAACGTTTTCAACAACATCTGTGGTCATGATGGGCGGCTGGGGAGTTGGGGGACTTGCTCGGGGGCCCAGGGTGGGGCTGGTTGGTCTGGGGAGTCGAGTCGGCAACCTTCCGATCACAGACTCAGCTTCTCTATTCTCTGCGCCACCACTCCCCCCAATTTTGGGTTTTATTCTAGTGTATGTCAGATGTTTAAYRACCTGTTTTAATAGTTTATATGGTTTTATATGGATTTATGGTGGATTTATGATGTTTTGACTGAGTTCACAAAGTACCCRTTACTTTTTTAAAAGTTGAGGACATTACATTASCTTTTAGCTGTGCTGCTGATCAGCGTTGTTTATTAAAACATGACCAGACTCACAGGAAACTGGTCACACRCGGGATCTGTGTYGGTGATTCTTGCTGTAMTATATAAAAGTAATTATTGATAAGGTAACCATGCTGTGACCTGTTGCATTTTCTTTTAAAGAAAGAAAAAGTAACTTGCAAAGCTGTCGCATCGGTGCTAYGTGATTAAAAAAAGCTGAGTTTTCATTGCACGTCTAATCACACACACACACGTCTTTCTATCTTTGTGAGGACCACACACAGCGCTCACAGCCTCGCTCTGCGCTGTCTTTTTTCCCCAAGGTTAGCGAGAAGTGGATATGGAGGGGCGCAAAAATAGCTCTCGACTTGATCTGGCCTTATTTAAATAAAAATGACTACATGCCGTGAAATTCTTGGAGGGGTGGGCCGTCTCATTGACGGGAGGTGGGGGGGAGGCGCCCCCCTTGAATAATGGTAGGGGAAATGCTGCCAAGGTACTTGCACTCCTCCACTTGAGGCAGAACTTTACCCCTGATCCATGGGCCATGTTCCCGGACCTCAATTGAGCTGTGGCCGCAAGGTTATCGGTGGCCATCCTCAAACTCTGTGGTAGACACCCCGGGTCAGGGTGGGGCTGGAGTCTGCCCTAGCTGCCTTTGGGTGAAGGCAGGGGACACCTGGACAGGTTTCCAGTCTCCATCAGGGACACAAAAGAGACAATCAACCATCCACACTCTGAAACCTTCTGGAGCTCTTCTGCGTGACTTTAGATGTGACAAACTGAGAACTCTGGACTCAGATCCATCTGGTGCTGCACAGTTCTAATCACTTAATATCAATAATAATTAAATAAATTATTATTGATAATTATCAGGAGGAGTCCTTAACTTTAGGATGTAGTTAGGCAATTAAATATTCACAATGTAAATTTATTACTATAATTGAAGGAAGGTGAGTCATGTAAAATTATGTTTTTATAAAACAAGTAACCCCCCCCCCCCCCACCACCAAAAAAAGACCAATTTCTTAGGGGAAACATTGCTTGAGGTCTTGTTCATGTGTAGAAAAAATGTGTGTTGTTCAAAATGGTATGTCTGAATAAAGAGGAATCCACTGGATTTCTTCTTAAAATCTTAATCTCAATCTTCTGACTCCAAYCAGGTTCACAGTACAGCACCCAGCAGTCCTCATCATAAGACCTTGGGCTGAAAACCAAAACAAAACACAGCAGTCCTGCTCTAGCAGAGACTCTGCAAAACACTAACAACTTCTCTTTACTACAATAATGAATTGATCTCATAATGTATTTCTCCTCCTGATTACACCCCTGGAGGTGTTACCTTTTACATCAGACGTAGAAYGTAACTCATTTTTGTTTAGGCTAAAGAAAACACATGATAAGACACACACCAACTCTTGGTCTGCTTTAATCTTAAAGGCTGAAATGATCAGATTTTCAGAATTTCCTTCACACGAGCGAGGGAAGAATGCCGCATGRGATTGACAGGCGGATCGGTGCAGCTTCCACCGTTTTCCGGACTTTGTACCAGGCTGTTGTGATTAAGAGGGCACTAAGCTGTAAGACAAAACTCTCTGTTTACCCATCAGTCTACATACCTACCCTCACTGATGGCCACAAACTTGTGACCGAAAGAACAAGATYGCGGATACAAGCGGTCGAAATGAGTTTTCTCCGCAGGGTAGCTGGACTATATCTTAAAGATAGGGTGGGAGGTTTAATCATTTGGGAGAGAGTCAAAATAGAGAAGCTGCTCCTCCACATTGAGAGGAACCATTTGAGGTGGTTCGGGCATCTGGTAAGGATGCCTCCTGGACGCCTCCCTAGAGAGGGGCTTCAGACATGTCCAACTGGGAGGAGACCCCAAGGAAGACCCAGAACACCTTGGAGAGAGTATGTCTCTTAGCTGACCTGGGAACACCTTGAAGTACTCCCAGAAGTGCTGGAAGAGGTGGCTGGGCTTCCCTGCTCAAGCTGCTGCCCCTGCGACCTGACTTCATACAAAGCAGAAGATAATGGATGGAAGAATGAGATTTAATTAACATTAATAACCCAATGGCTTAAAATATGCATCTTAACACTAAAGTAATATGAAGTAGGKCAAAATATGTACAATATTTGAAATATTGTAGTATAATAAATAATATATCATTATTTTGGGGATAGGCCTCATTTGATTGCTATCAGTATAAAAATAAATGACATTGTACATCTAATCTTATGTATTTTGATTAGTAGAG